CTGCCTCCTTCCATGCAGTATCTGGCTGTTATTCACCTACCTCTGCAACTAGGAACAGCCTCAGGAAGGCAGTGCTTTTGGGGAAGATGCTTTCCAGCAGCAAACAAAAACGTGTGGGGTAGCTCCAACTCAATGGTCCACCCTCCCTCCAGTCAGAAAATCCAAACTCAAGTGGGACTTCAGAAACAATTTATGCTCCTGAGAACAGCCCCTCTCTTGACAAAGATGACTTCCCAACCCACAGTCCCTCTCAGATAAATAAGCCTTCACTAGCCACCAGGTCCCAGGTTCCCTTAGTCATAGGGATGCAACTGCAACTAGACTGAACTGGGTGCCCTGCCGTCCCAGGCTGGCCCATGCTGCGCACGTGAGCTCAGCCCAGCCAGTTACATACGTGTCATGCTCCAGAAGGAGGACTATACGATGCATGTGCAGCCATCTCTGCCAAAAGTTGGCATCCATAGAAAGGATAGGCTTCCAGTAGGAGGCAAACTGGGAATGGCTTGAGTCAGACCCACTGTGCTGCAGGGATAGTACCTGGGAAAATGACAGAATATTCCTAAGGAAACTCTCTAGTTCCCCTCAGAGAGAGCATGAATTTCTCTAGCAGCTGAGGTGTGTAGGCCTATAAGGCCACGTCCCAGGCTTTTGGTAACTACATCTCAGCAGAGTAACTAACTGCATTCACATTGAAACAGGTAGTACAATATAAGCAAAAATAAAATAGGTTCCTAAAATGTCAAGTTAATTAGGAATTTAAGCACTTAGCATCAAGCAAATGAAGCATGGCAAAGACAGCCTATGGAATGGCACGCTTTCTGCTCGAGGAGGGATATATGGCTTGTGTCAGCACCGCAGTTAAACACGGAGATAACTGGTCTGAGGGTGCTCACGCAAATACGGCACCAGCAACGGGTGGCACTGGGCAACTCTAACATGTCTGCATGGTAAGACTGTGATTTCACCAACTACAGCAACTATGCTGACACAGAAATCAAGAGGTGGTTAGCCATAAGATGGGATGCTCTAGATATACTGTGGGATACATCACCCTGCGTAGTCCAAATTTACTTAGGCAAGCCTAAAGCAGTAAAGGGCTTAAGCAATAAAATTAAAGGCATAGTCTTCTTAAATTAAAGCTCCCCCAGCTTTTGTATCTGCTAGTCATCTTCTACCAATGCCAAGGACATTGCTATCAGGGAACAGATGATATACCAGCACTTCTGCCCAGTGAGCTTCAGTGAGTTTCAATTTTGCAGTGGAAAGGATTAGCTCATATTTTGTTTGCTTTCTGCTGTGCAGATGACAAGTATCTCTCTTGCACCTTCCACAAGAGTGCTCAGAGCAATGAGCCTACTGAACAACAACTATTCAGCACGTCCTGTATCACCTGACAGCACTGAGCTACATCACCAGGGAACAGGACTGTCAGCAGCAACTCCAAACGTATGAGGTATCCACTGAAAATGCATGGCAAAAATAAGTGTGTCAGCCTCCCCATCAATCTAACACATCACATCACTACAGGAGAAGGCTTCACAACACACTCAGGAGACTTGCTGTGAGGCTTAGAGATGTAGCTGCAGCAATAAACACAGGGTGATGTCTCAGGGGGGAAGAAGTATGGAATGGGATGTTCACAGGCACTGCATGTGAACTAAGCAGGACAAAGAGCAAGAGATGAAGCCTGAGAGTTACAGAAGAATCTGGAGTGCCTGTTGGGACTCGGCAGCCCCTGGTGCAAGACAGAACAGACAAGGGGGACAACCTATCCCACATTAAGTGTAAGAGAGAGGGAACGTACTGGAGTGGTGGAACCTGGGGGGATGTAGAAGAGGGGTACCCCATTCTTGGTGCTCTCAGGAATAGTGAAGTGTTCTGGGACTGTGTCAAACGATTGCAGATGAACTAACATCTGATCTGTCTGGTTGATGCTGAAAGAGAAGAGGCAGTTAGGAACAAAAGCCCACTCTTGCCCCCTTGCTGCCCCAGTCAGCCCAGTGCCTGCACACACAGTGCTCAGTCCCTGTGTACTGGGAGCCCACTACACCCACAGAGCTTTCCAGGCCAACGCTGGCATTCAACACCTGATTGAAAAGAGCATGTAAGGGAGTTAAAGGGTAACATCAATACACAAGGAGGATGATCAGAGTGGGGAATGAAGTGCTAGAAGAGGAATTTGTTGACTGGGAGTAATGGTCACCCTGGCTAGGAAATGGTTACAACCCACAGATCCTTCAGGCCTAGAGACATGGGGAACTGCTCTCGGTATGATCATGCAGCACAGGTGCAAGGCTAGCTGTAAGAACACACCACCTCCATGGGATGGCAGTCAAAGTCAAGGTCTGCATCACAGGATCAGGACTTGGGGGCAGCAGTACCTTCACCACGAAGCAATCTTACAGACCAGGTGAGAGGCCACTTAAGAGTCTTTTCCTTGGCTAGAAGGCAAGCTTATTGCCAGTCATGCCTCTTCCTCAGAATACATTCCTTTGGCACCTTGGGGGCGTAACGGCCACCTGCATAACCCCAGCACGCCAAGGAAGGAATTTCTTGGTTATGTTGGACACTGGGAACTGCTGGGGATGGTCCAGCTCACCTCTGCAAGGTGTTCCAAAAGCGACGGATGACTGTAGTGCGGTACAGACTGGTGATAGGCTTCCTCATGGTGCAACTGATGTCATGCAAGATGTCATAGCTTCCCTCCATCGTCACCTCCACCCATGTGCTGCGCTTTGATGGGTCCAGGGGCCAGGGTGTCACAGCTAAGTACTCTATCCTCATGTTATGCTTCCAAAGCAGCACTAGTTTCACCTCCAGCTGAGACCCACCTGCACAGGAGCAGAGGAATAAGTTCAAGTACTTGTTTGGTACACCTCCAAGCTTTATCTCTGACGAGGGACTCCGAGTACTGTGAGACCGATTGCTATGAAGGGCACAAAGTAATCTAACAACTGTTTGCTTTAGCTGTAGTCATACGCTCTCCTCCTCAGCAGAGGGAGGCTTTGCTTACACAGCAGCATTTGATGAACAGTTCTTTAAATGTACATGCAGTATCTACACTAGAAAGGCAACTGAAACTCGGAGGAGGTGCTGACATTTGCAGTGGACTCTCTTCTCCACAGCCTCATCTTGTTTCCAACAAAACTGTTGCTTTGCAGAGATAAGCAGGGCTTTTCAGCTATTAAGTTTTCTCATCTACACTTTGAAGAGTTGCAGAAACATGGGCATTTGGACATGATGGGTGCAGATCATAAACAACCTGGAAGGTGAGGGCCAATTTTTGAATTTAACTTCACGTTTTAATTGCACAGACAGCATTTCATGCAATTAAGAACGTCAAGCATCAAAAGCTTCTCACCACATCTACTTTCTTCTCCTCCAAAAGTTAAGAAGTACATTCTTCAAACTGCACATTTGAGGGTATGAATACTGAGTATGGACTGAAAGCAGTCCTGAGAAAGACTTGGGGGGGCTGGCTGATGAAGACCCGAGCATGACCCAGCACTATGCGAGTGCAGCCCAGGAAGCCCATCATATCCTGGGCTGCATTGCAAGCAGCGTGGCCTGCAGGCTGAGGGAGGTGATTCTCCCCTCTACTCCACTCTTGTGAGATGTCACCGGGAGTACTGCATCCAGCTCTGGAGCGCCCAACACAAGACAGACACAGACCTGTTGGAAAGGGTACAGAGGAGGGCCACAAAGAGGATCAAAGGTCTGGAGCACCTCTACTACAGGGACAGGCTGAGAGGGTTGGGGTTGTTCAGCCTGGGGAAGAGAGTTTATTGAGGCCTTCGGGTATCTGAAGGGGACCTACAAGAAAGCTGGGGAGTGACTTTTTACTAGGGCTTGTAGTGATAGGATGAGGGGTAAAGGATTCAAACTGAAGAGGGTAGATTTAAATTAGAAAGTAGGAAGTTCTTCACTATGAGGGTGGTAAGGCACTGGAACAGGCTGCCCAGGGAAGCTGTGGATGCTCCATCACTGGGTGTTCCAGGACAGACTGAATGCGGCTCTGGCCAACCTGATATAGTGGGAGGTGCCCCTGCCCATTGCAGAGGGCTTGGAACTAGATGGTGTCTAAGGCCCCTTCCAACCCAACCCATTCATTGATTTTTAACTTTTTCTTTAAGCGGACCACTGCATCTCTAGCAAGATTAACACAAACACCTGACAGCAGGCCTCACTGAGCCAGAAGAACAGAAAACTGTCACACTCCTGCTGACCGTGCACATGTATTTGTACTGAAACAACCAGGGAAACACATGACCTTCTGTAACAGTGCCACGCTGCTGTTTCAACTGCTCAATCATCTATTCTGAGGTCCAGCCTGCTCTACAGTTTGCCAAACTTGCAGCATTTGTGAGATAAGTGATTGGATGTGCTGGAAACCATCCGAACAGGTCATCAGCCTGGATCCCACGTTTCCTGCAGAGTTGCATTTGCTGCTGTCACAGGCACATCATGCCACCCCCTGCACAGGCTGATTACACTCCATTTGAAAGCCATCTTGCCTCCTGCTCCCACGGTCCCTGCTGGGAGGCTCCCTCAGAGTACTCTTCCCCCACCAATGTTTAGAAGACAGCTTCCAGATCACATGCCAAAATCACGCTTCGTTGTTCTTTTGATTAAATTATTTTTGTTCTGAGAAGCTTCGTTTCCATAACATTGACAAGGAGTGTGCTCTAGGGGAAGAAATCCTTATCCGGTTTCAGCTGTTACTGTGCAGGTCAAACCAAGCTGTGGTCATCTGCCTACAACAAGAATATCCATTCCCCTTAACAATCCCAGACCTTCCTGCATCTCCAGAGTTCATCTTTCCTGAACAAAGATGATCATAAGTGTATCCTATATTTCAGCTACAATCTGAGGGACTACTAGGATTTTACTCAGGGTCACTAATATTTTCTACAATGGGTGCTCTGATTTACCATAAATGCATTTGCCAGAGTTGCAACACCTGCTGTTTTCATATGAAGATTGTCTAGCTCATCAGAAAGGCTAATCAAGAATTAATAAATTTATCTCCATTTCATACTGTCACCTCACTCTTGCTGCTTTAGTGCTCATTCATTGATTTCTGCACAATATTTTGGTTCCCATAACAAAGTCTTCCTGCTTCATCAACAGCAAACATGATAAGTAAATTCCCATATTTTTTGCCTAGGTCATTAATGAAAATATTTCCTACTTCCACCTGTGTTCCCATTAGTCATCCTGGCTTCACTCCTACAATCTAACACAAGGAAAACTAAAAACACGAGCAAAATATTTGCTTAGTTTGAAGTCATACCTAGATGAATGTTTAGCTTGTTCTTACTGCAAAGGAATCTATTTCTGGTTCTTGACTTTATGGCAAACAAGTTTTTGCTGCTTTGATTTCTTTCATAAAGTCTAGCTCTGGTTTTTAGAAAATCCACTTTGTATTCCCAATTCCTGACACTGAGAACAGCTACTCTCACTGGCCAGCTCATGCCTGGCCATTTTGGTGCTGGATTGATTCACAGGGGAAGAGGGGGTTTTGAAAAATGTCCTCCAGGCTCTCCTCAAAGCACAGCAACACAAAATGGTCAGTGAAAATTTTTCTTTTTGTTACAGAGGGCAATCCCCTGTCATGGCTCCGGAAATAGGAGAGGAGCCACTACATGCCATGGCCTCAAGGCTTCTCATGCACAGCTTCTCTCCCTTCCATACCTTCCAAGTCTTCCCCCTTTCACAAGCACTTTTGCATTCTCAACTAACCATAGTAGCCTTCTAAACGGCTAAATACCTAAATTCAAATAGTGAGGGTAACTGGAACACTCACAAACAACCTCTCCGGGCAACTCTGAGCACAAAGCTAGCTATTTATTCTATTTTGCCTTTGGCAAAGCAAAGCAGAAAAGCAAGTGTCAAAGTCCACAACTGCACTCTCTCCTCAGGCTTCACAGCCAGCTGGCTCCTTAACAGCTTTTAGTTTGCAAGTTTTGGCAAGAGCTTGTGGCAGTCCAGGTTAATTAACTGTTCTTTGTTACACGCTTCTCTACAGAATGGCCCGCAGAGCCCTGATTAGCCAAGCATCTCCTTAGTCTCCTTAGCAGAGGCAGTGCTGAATGTCTAAATGTCCCAATCTGATAATTCTATTTTAAGAGGCTAGTTCAACAATTTTTCTGATCCCAGCCAGCAACTCCCCAGAGCATTCAGCCTTTCCAAAATACAAGTAACATTACCGGCTACTATGCTGAAAGCTGACATAGAAAGGCACACTGTATTTTTGATAGCTCAGATATTTAATTTTAAAATTCTTTCTAGAAGAACTTCATCAAAATACACAGAAAGTATTTCTGTTTCAGGGAGCCCCTGGGCTGCAAAGGGCTACAGAGTCCTCAATGGGAAGAAAAAGGGAAAGGGGAAAGGAGGCATCATGTACATTTACGCTACGTTCTTACTCCTCCCTGTGCACCTGCCCACAGCTATACACCACAGAAGGTAACCGACCCAGTGCAGCTGCTCTTCGGCTCTCTACTCTTGTGAAAAATGGAAGACCAGCCATTTAGTATTCCAAGGGCTAAAAGGCAGCAGGAAGATACCTAGGGGAAAGTGCAAGGAGCATGGTGAATATATGGTGATATTTCTGATACATTCCTCCGGAGTCCAGGAATTTGCTGCTTTACAATGCCCTGAGCCAGAGCCACAGCTACACCTTTGTGCAACAACATACAACATGAAATCGTCTGATTGCTTTTTGAATGATTCACACCTGCTACCTCTTCCAGAATTTCTCTACAGGACTTCACAGTCACCTAAGTGCACTTCACCATTGCTGCCAGATTAAAGAAAGGCTCCTCCCCCTGTGTTGCCCAAGCTCTAAGTGAGCTGCTGCATAGGAGGATAAAAGACACAATACTGAGCACAGCTGGGAGAGGAACTGATTTATCAAACTGTTTCACAGATAACCCTAGACAAGGAGAGCGCAACAGACCCAATCTGCCCAGATTTAAGGGAAGTATCACATGCCACACCTACACAACATGAGTGAAAACAATCTGCAGACACTACTAGAAGATGTGTCTCAATGGGAAACCTTAGCAGATTCTTAACTTTAATAGAGAACTCCCGAAACAAGAAATCAGGGATATTCCTGGAAGACCAGCTTTAGAAATGATCCCACCCAACAGGACTGTTAGCAACCTGCCCAAAAATGCTGGTTTAGATCCATTCAGTCTGTAAGAAGCATCTAGTCAAAAGAACCACGATTCCCAGTCATCTCACAGCAACAGTGAGCTGAACTGAGCCAGATGAACTTAAGAGTACTACTATGGGAAGAATGCAAACATTTAGGGACTACTAAACAAACAAACCAACCCCAATAAAAGACCCCTAAGGACTCATCAGCCAGAAGCAAAGGTGTGTGAAAGATGCAGGGATTTCTGTGCTACCAGTGCAATCATGGAGAAAGTTCCCATGATCCCTGGTCTATCAGATATGGTATTGAACTTCAGAAGCAGTGAGGCATTAGCATTGCTGAACAAGGCACCAATATTTCAAAAATCTTATCAACTGTTTCAAGACAAAACTGTGAAAAGTGAACAACTGAGGGGAAAAAAAAGTACTATTAAGATGAATAAAGAGGACAGAAAGCCTGCCCTTACAGAAGGAAGCTGAAACACTGTCTGTCAAAAGCGTGGTTACAAGGAGAAAGGCAGTGCTCTTAAATACGTTTGCGCAATGCCAGAGAAGAAGGATAAACTTAATTAAGGATAATAAAATCATACAGGTCTAATTTGGTCTGAGTCAGTTTAGAAAGGACGCTAGAGAGAGCGATGAAGCTCTGAGACAACCTTCCAAGCAGAGCAGTGGTATAAGAGATTTACACAGTTTTAAGGCAGACCACAGTAAACTCATCATATGGCAAGTTTGTAATTATATCACAGACTCTGATTTTCTGATATAAACCATATTCTCTGTACCAATATCCAAAAAGAGTAGTGAAGACACAGGATCATTATGCATGGTACACGTTTACACTGTGTTTTAAGAATTCCATCCTCCAGGCTTTCTGCCGGTCATTGCAACAGTCAAGAATAATTCCTTCTCTTGCTAGCAATTCCTTTATTTGCACTTGGATTTTTTCATCTTCCCTTGAGTTAAAGCACTACCACTAATCACAGCTGGAGATGGAACATTAGGTACAGTTTACTGGCAGACCTTGGGATTCTCAGATGCCTCAAGGCTCCTAGTGCTCCTCTGCAGCTAGTTCTTACACTCCGGGTGCCATAACCTCTTAGCAAGTCAGATTACAGAACAGGACCACTGGATGGTTTCATGTCCTTCTAGTGCTGGTCACAGTCCTGACTAATATGACATTTTCACTTACTAAGATCCTTTTTTCCCCCAGTTTTTTCCTTTGGAAGACTGAAGTTTGGAGGCATTAAATGAGTTGTACCAAAAAGCTCAACTTTGTGTTAGTATTTTGGAGCGCATCTAGCAAAGGATTAGAAAGGGCTGAAAGAAGGAGGAATATAGAGGAAATGCCAGAAAACTCAGCAAAACCCCAAGTTGTGGTACTACTCTCCCTGCAATTGTGGGGATTCATTTCCAAGATAGAGAGGGTCACAGTCTGTCTGTCCCTCCATGGGCACTTGGAGCCACAGAGGATAAGCCTAGCAAGTGCACAACTGCACAGTTCTTGACAGTCAGAGTTTGGAGAAAATGGCTCCTTCCTCCACAATACCAGCCACCCTGCTGAGATGGCAGACCCTGAACTTTCCTGTAACCAGTTGAGAACGTAGGCGTATGAGAGCTTCCAGCCCCCAGTGCCCCCCTAGTCACCTTTAGTGATGTTGACCTCCCGGATGCTGTAACCCTCGCGCAGCCGGACCGAGACAACGCTCACGAGGTCAGCATGCACCTCCTTCTCCGTGTGCTTCTTCCTCCTCATCGCCAGAGCAGGGTTGCTGCTTGCGGACACCAGGTGCTCATTGAACAGTCTGTGCTGGGACACTGCAAACGGCAGAGATGGGGTGAGGGAGGGAGGGAGCAACTCCCCTGCTCCTCATTTACAGCAACAGCCCTCCCAAGGGGCTTTACAGAAGGTAGCAGGAACACTCACTGGCCTGAAGAACAGTACATCCTTCAGGCACCACTTACACCCACTCCTGAGTCTGCAAAGCAGCAAACAGGTCTGTTAGCATGGCCAAGAGGCCTAGCAGACTGACAGGGTGGGGTGCCAGGTCCTGCTTTGTCTGGGACAGCCTTTGTGACAAGGCACGTGTTGGAGTTACACATTTACCTAGGCAGGCAGAAAACCCACAGCTGTTGCGACAGTCACACAGCAAGCTTTTGGGCTTGACCCCTTCCCTGGAAAACCATGGATTCCCAGCTGCCTTCTAAAAGGTACCATGACATGGAAGCGTTTAGTTTAGGCCATTAACACCTCAGCTTCTTAAGACTGAACATTCCCAAGTCCCAGGTGAGCTGTGTTCAAACTTGTCACTGTATGTTGCTTCTGCTGCCAAGTTACAGAAACGCAGATGACACCAGCGTATCTCCAGGACATGAAAGGGTGTTTCCATGTTTTGCTGGTAACTAATCTCTCCTGGCATATTTGCAGTCACTAACATTAAAAAAATATGAAAAAACAAAAGAGAGGCATTTGGGATGGTTCTCAGGGGTCTAGTTTTTCAATCCAAATTGCCATCTGCAAGGCCAGTTAGGACAAGCCCTTCAGAATATTCTCATCTGCCAACTAGCCAGTGTGCAGGGAAGATCTGACAATAGCTTCTCAGCCCTTCTGGATTTCAACACAGCTGGCCTAACTGCAGCTTGCTGAGTGAAGTCCATAGAAAGAGGAATGGTATAAAATGGGTCATTAGTTTTCCCCAATCCACCCAAATCCTGGAACCGCAAAAGGAGTCACAGATGAGGCTGCATGGCCCAACAGTGCCCAGAGCCTACAGTAAGCATGACCCAGAGGGGACAGGGGAGAGTATCAGCATAATCAAGCCTAGGGGAGTCACTCCAGAGAGAGGTGCAGTAAGACATCCATCTGCTGGAAAGAGGGCATGCATGTTCCTCACCGCAGTAGTATTCTGGATTCAGGGACTCCCCAGTACGCAGAAAGGAGTACAGCAGAAATGCCTTGTGATACACATTCAGATCCAGGCTCAGGGGATCCAGCTCAGGGCACGTGGAGAGGTAAGCACCAAAAGTGGCCATGGCAATGAATTTCATAAGTTCCACATTGGGAACGTGGCCAAAGCTGCAATCGTATGAGTAGACACCGCCCACCTACAAGATGAATAAAGTAGGTATCTGAGAGAGTACAGCAGTGCTGAGGACAAGGCACAGGACCAGTAAAGGCCCCAAACAGGCAGAGAAGTCCCTTCATCCCCTCTGGAGGTGAATGCCATGGAGAGTAACCCACCTTTCTCCCTCAGCAGCCCCCATGCTCCCTGCTAGCAGTGGACATACCTGTACAAAGGAGCAGGCCACGGTGCCACTGCGGAGCTGGTTGAGTAAAGTCTCGCACACAGCCACATCAGGGACACTAGTCACACCATCCGTAATTATTATTATACCTGTGAACAAGGCAATATCTTAGTGCACTTTCCATCTCAGCCAGCTACCACTCTCCCACTGCATCCACCAGAGATAAAATTCAGGCAGGACAAAAGCAGAAAGGAAAACCTTGAGGTTGGTTTAGAGCTTCCAAAGAGTTCAGGAGCAGGTAGACTTCCTGACTAGACACAGCGAAACACTCGGGCAGGACACAGCTCTGCACATCCTGGGTTGTCCTGAGCAGTAATCACAGTTGTGCCTCCTCACAAACTCCCCAGCGCTGACATAGGGCACATGGTGCTGTGTTCCTCTCCCCATAGCCCATGAGCGAGCCACAGAGCGCAGGGCAAACGCTGCTGCCGAAATTTCATCCCTACCAAAAGGGTCCACGCACCAGCGGTTATAAAACCTTATCCTAGGGCAGAAGGAGTAGAACCCTTCACAAACAACCGGGCAAACCTTAACCGCGGGGAGGAGGCCAACCTGCACTGGAGTTGGAGGGCAGGAGCTGCAGCGCCAGGATCCCCTGCCGCACCATGCTGATGAGGCCGACGTCGGCCGTGACAACAGACACACTGGGCTTCCTCCCAGAGGACTCCTGCACATCACCAGGGCTCTCGGGTGACAGATCCACCTGGAAAAGTAAAAAAACCCCAACAAAACACAAGGCCCCATGGGGCAGACTTCAGTCTAGCTCTAGTTCTGACTCTCCCAAACAGCTTTCAGCTGTGTAGCCCCACAGTACCACAGCCCTGGAGCACTTCAGCAGATTCCACTTCTAGCCTTAACTACCAGGTGCTCTCTAAGCCCTGGTCTGGGCCCCTTACAACAGCAGGGCAAGGCTGCTTGAGGGTGGAGGAAGGGGACAACAGGCTCAGAGCTTTATAATAAGCTGATTTTTCACAGAAGGGGAAAGATGAGATGCTTTGGGGTCACTGAAGCTCCTCTGCAGAGCAACACAGTTTCCAATTAAAGAGGTGGTGAATACCTCCTTTTTGCCTTGTCATTTAGTAGAAGCTGCAGCTATTCAGCACCTCCTCAAGTAAAGCCCAGAAACACTGGAGAGGCCAAGACACCTATGTCTCCCTTATGAAGCACTGCAGCAACAGATGGGGTAAGAAGCTCCTAAGGACAAAGTCTAGTGCACATATATTTAACTCTTTTCAAACAGGGCTCGTTATGCAGTGCTGATACAAGCAAATGCAGACAGGCCTCTCCCGCATCTTCCATGAAAAACAGCCCCCAGGCAAAGCCTGAAATTTGTATAATTACACTGAGGAGGAACCTAGTGCATTCATAGTCCACTCATCTCCAGAAGGCTCTGGCAGTTCAAACCTGTAATAAACTATTGCTTCATTTTTACTGCTAATACAGAGAACAGGCGAGTCCCTCCCTTGCCAAGCTACACATGGTTTGAGCTGAGAAAAAAACAATCAGAACTAAACAAACTTTTTTCTGTACAAATGGGAGTAGTCTGTAGCTGTGAGGGGAAAAAAAACCTATCCATCACTTTAATTTGCCAGATGCCTTAAATTCAGACGCTTGTTGACAATGATAGAGCTAATGCAACTTCAAAAGTAAAAAAAAGTTTCAGTCCCTGCCCTTCTCCCGGAGCCTCTCACCTCCACCCCACAGCCTGTGGCAGGACTCGCCAGTGCCTCTGGCCTCTGAACGCGTCTCCTTCCCCCATTTGCATGGAAGAAGTTAGAGAGTAGTTTGCCATGAGGGAAACACTGCAGCAAACAGGAATGCATACAGAACACTGCAAAAACACCAGCTGGACACACCGGTAAAGATATTTACTTCCTGCAATCTTCCTTCCGTTCCAGGACTGACAGCCTTAGCATTCAAAGATACAAGCTTCAGCTGGGATATGAGATTTGAAGCACTTCAGGTGTGCAACTATAACAGATCACCAGTAGTCTCTGGCTCATATGATTTTGAATTTATTTTTTTTGACCAAACTCTAATAACTAATGCTAAACAAGGGCTAAATAACCTCAGTCAGGCCAATAATGCCTTTGACTGCAAGAAGGGTGCCCACAGATACAATTGTGACTGTCAAGTGTCTTCATTTCCAGGATCACAAGACATGATCTTGATGAAAATTCCTTAGACATTCTGAACCTCTACAGAATCTCACTTTTCATTTCATCCTAGTGCTACCATTAATTTGCTGATACCTGTATCTGTCGCTACTAAACAGCACCTGCCACAGATTTCCAGGAATATAAGCAACTGCACTGTCTGTTTATTCAGTTTCATGGTCAGTTTTAATGGTAACAAGGAAGTATTTTCATTCAAGACATGTAACAAGGACCAAAGACATATTCACAGCTATTTATAGATAAATGGTATGGGCATAATCACCTCTCCCACCATCTTCTTCTGAGAGAAAGCACATCTTACATTTTGTCCCATGATGTAGAAGAGGTCAGGCTGCTTTACTGCACAGTAATCTTGGGGAAGCTAACCCTTCTCATCAGTCCTTCGAAACACTTACTGGTTCTGCTTCCCTCAGTGTTCATGTCTCCTTACTGGCTCCCACAAAGTCACCATAGAAACTCCTTAGCCCCTCCTTCTCCAGCCTGATACCACTGCTCCTCTTGCCATGACACCCCAGAGTGCAAAACTCAAGGAGCCAAGAGACTCCAGCCACCTCTGCCCCCTTACCTGTGGTTTGGGTTCATACTGTTGCTGGAGCATCTCTGCCACCTTGTTCTCAAAGGCACACAGCTGTGTGTAAACTTGGTGCAGGAAGGCCTCTCGCTTTGTTTCGTCCAGCTGGCAGCCCTGGAATAGCACCTGGCCCAAGGACATAACAGTCATCAAGTTCAGGTTTTACCAGCCCCCAAAATGGTACACAGTCCTGCACAGTGAGATTGAGGAACATCCCTGAGAAAGTACAGGTACAACACAGGCCTCTTCTTCTGTCCTGCTCAGGGCTAACTGCCTGTCAGCACCAGTGTCCCGTGGCATCTGCGCTGCACTCTGCAGCAGATGCTCACACCACTCTTTGGGAAATCTTTCTTGGGCAAGAAATTTCTACTTCATCTGCCTTCTTCCAGGAAAAGCTGCTGTCAAGAGAAAGCGATGTGGGATTCTTGTTAGAAGCCACTGGTCTGATGTTTCTAGGGAAGGCCAGTTTGCTCCAATCTAACTCACCTACAGACTGATCCAACTATCTTCCAGTAAGTGGATGGATAAAGGAATGGCAAATTGAAAAAAAGAAAAGAAAAAATTAGACTGGACATTACAAAAGGAGCTGAGTGATATGACTATGAGCCTGCCACCACATAGCTTCCCCAGGCTGACAGGCATGACACTTGTTTATAGAAGCCACCATTATACAGGCCATCTCTGTCCACAACCAGCAGGCAAAGAAGATACAACATACAGACAAAGAACTCAAGAGATGGGTGGGATGCTGCATGTTATCTACATTCCCTCATCCTCAGAAGGGCAAGACCTCATAGTGGCATAGAAAAAGTCAATGATTACAATATAGACAAGCCTTCCTAGATGAGTGCTACACATACGTGCCTTTTCCTCCACAAAAGAAACATAAAGCTTATCCAGTTGTACCCAGAGGTGACAGTTCCTGGCATCATACAATAAACAGAAAAACATAGCAACTTCAGAGTGCTCAATTTAGTGCAAATAAGTGAGATACTGAGGGAAAGCACAATGGGGTCTGCAGGACAAGACAATGTCCAAAAACATCATGTGCAGCTGGAGAAGTTCCTGCTACGCTTACTTTGGTAGGGTCTAAGAAAGGACCAGAGTGAGGCCCAGGCTCTTTAGGCACTACACAGTCCATTAAAAGCTCCAGCTTTTGGTGAAGCCTTGGGCAGAGAGAGAGAGGGAACAAGCAGACTAACAGGCTCCTGTTACCACCCACTTTCCCTAGCATCAGCAAAGGGATGATTTGATGATACCCTCAAAAATGTGAAAAAAACATGAGAATAACATGAAAATACTGCGAGATGGAAGGGATCAAGGAGAAACTTCAAAAACCACACTGGCACTATAAACCAGACTTCAATTTATTAAACAGACATGCTGTGACTCAAGGAAAATCTCACTGGTAATCTCAATACCAAGGAGAGCTGCTCCCTCAAGCAAGGAGAAACATTTCCATACCAGTGCAAAAACAGAACAAGGTTTGTAGGAAGAGACAATTACCTTTCAGTAAGCCACTGCTACATAGTTGGACACAAAAGGGCACAGAAAAAGCGCGTCTCTTCTTGAATATTTCAAGCTCATTACAACAGGCCAAGAAAAATTAGTCAACAAATTAAAAACAACAACAACAAGAAGCACACATTTGACCTGAAGGAAACAATCCCTGTGGCCCAGCTCTGACATGGTGCCTGTGGGTGGCATTCCCTGCTGAGCCCTGCTCCCCCACAAGAAACCTTTGCTTCTTGCCCAGAAAGGAGAAGTTGCTCTCAGACACTTCCCCACCAATCAAGGCTGCATGCTTTAATGAGACATCTGCAGCATCACAGATAACAGACCCCAGCTACCACATGCCCCCACCTTCCTCTGTGTTCACAGGAAGCCCAAAGAGCGAGCTGCTCATGTGCTGAGCCATGCCAAGGGAGAGGCTGAACTTTACCTGATGGGACTGCAGGCCAATGATGGAGGAATACGCCTGGATGGTGACAAAGATCTCTGGCTGGTAGATAATGTCTGAACCAGGGATACGGAAGGGTCTTAACAATCCCACCAAGCATCGGGAAAGGGCATGGAACACTTCATCAAAAATTATCTCCCCTGTTGAGTCATCCTACAGAAACAGAAAAAGCGAACAGCTTTTTCATCCTATAGGACTTTCAAACTCAATGCTGGTTCTCCCCCAAGCCAAAAACAAACACCCTTCTGCAGCTGGATTAAAATGAGAGCTCCCCGTAAATGAAAGTCACACATCAAGCATTCAACAGAGAAACAGGATCTGCCATTAAGCTGCCTAGCTAGGAACACTGTGTGCCTCCCTCCTGCGAAAAGCAAGACTTCTGCAAAACTTAAGACTAACACAAAGAGGAATATGCCTTCTCAGCAAATAGAGATGGGTCCAGCCCTTTAACGCAGAACACCCCAAAGAGGCAGTTTCTGCACTTACCACAATCCCTGTGGAAGGGCTCAGGTCAAGTTCAATAACAAATCGGTACTGGCGGGCCAGGAAGGTGACCCGTGTGGAGGGCACGAGGAGATAGGGCCTGGGCTGGACAGGCTCGTCTGGCTGCCACCCATTAGGCAGGATGCTGAGAACATCAAGTTCATTTTCTGACTTTACCTACAATAACAAGTGAACAGCGTGTGAGAGAACGTCAAGCCAAGCCAACGGAGGGATCAGGGAAAGGACCCAGGTTAAAACCTTCTGTAGGGTGCAGCTGCTCACGAGCAGCACAGAGCCAGCTTGTCACACCGCCGCGGTGACACTGCCCGGGCCTGGGCACCAACTCACCAGCTCCGGCTCGGGCACAGCCCAGATGACCTGGTGGAGGCGGCTGAGGACCCAGGCGAGGCGCACGTTGCGGGAGATGCGATAGTCTTTCTTCATCAGGAGGAAGACGTGCCCTGCCTCCTCCACCTGCGGCGAGAGCACAGCGGCCCGGGTCAGCTCGGCGGGCAGCCCAGGCGGCCACTT